CAGCCTAGTTGATCAGGCCCTGATCCATCGGGAGGCCTGGTCGTGGACCGGGCCGCGGGGGCGTTGATCCCCGGAATAACCTCCAGGTAACCTCCAGGTAACCTTAGCAAAATAAAAGGTTCAGTGGCCCAAGGTGCAGTACTTGCGCCTTTACTGTTTCTCATCCTCATAGCAGACATAGATAAAATATTAGCCAAAGCCTTGTGTCGTCCTTCACGGACGATAAAGCAAGCCCGAAAATCACCTCGGTAGAAGACACGATAAAAAATGCAAATTTATATTAACACTTTTCTAGTGGTCAGTAGAAAAAAAAAAAGACAAATTCCAACTGCTTAGATATGGAAAATATGAAGAACTCAAAAGAAGAAGTGAATACAGAACGAAAAAGAAAAATGTAGAAGACTCTTATTAATGTCAGATGACCTGTCGTTTAGATAACATGAGGTAAATGCCACGAAAACCAGAAAAATGAGAGCGCAGATAGTGAGCTCTTTCGAAACATCAGTAACTTCATTGGTAACATTATTAAAATTATTTGTGCTTGCTCGTTTAGAGCATTAATCTGACAGCTGTAATATCAAGGCAAGAGAGACATCAGAGCTGGAAATTGTGCAGAGATCGTTTATTTCCCCACAAAGAGCCAGTGAAGCATTTAAACTTCTAGGAACTCCTCGTACCATTTGGAAGGTGCTCTTGAGAGTGAGAGATATACCTGATAATGTATACATGGCAGATATTTGAGGGCCTGGTCCCTAATGTACACTGCCATAATGTACTGGAGTGAGAGATGTGAGAGGAAGTGTATAATAGACCCAATGAAAAACAGGAGCGCCAGGGGCACAACAAAAAAAAAAGTGAACCGTGCCAACTGAAATGTGGGACCAAGAGGAAGCTGGGTCATTACGTGTGCTAAGTGCCAACCAAGCTGTGATGGCTATTGGTCCAGCGGGTAATAATCATCATAAGCCAGGGTAGAGAAACCCTAGAAATCTGTCACAGCCACTTGACGTCTCCATATAGTCGATTGCAGGGGCCATCGCTTCTAGTGCAGTTCAACGCAGGCAACACAACCCTGTGATTGGTTCCGATGACTTTTCTACCTTTACAGCGTGACCTGAGGCTAGACTTCCTTGTTAACTATTTTTCTACCAGCCTCTTGCTATCGGCCCACAGACCTTCAACACAGACAAGGGAAAAAGGAAACTGAGGTAGGAATGGCGATCAAAGATGACCCCAGAAAGCATGGCGGAAATAAGGGAGAAACTCGAAAAGGGAAGTGGAGGCAGGAGAGCGAGGGGGACGTGGGGAGGGGGGGAGGGGTTGGAGAGGATCTCCTCTCCAAGCAGATGCAATAGTATGTGTACAAGTTGATAAATTAGACACATGTTCAATACTTGGGTATCTTTACTATGGACAAGTTTCTCCACTGTCTGGCGAAACTTTGATCAAAGTAAGATTCATGTTATTGTTGCTTCGTGTAAGCCGTAATTTGCCAGTTTTATGAAACCGATTGCCATAGTTAGGGAAAGAATCTTTGGAGTCATGAAATTTTCAAAGCTAGTTTGTCTTAGTGGAAGGTTCGAATTAGTTTTGGTCTGCGCAGTTGCGATTTTTTCATTGAAGAAAAACTGGGAAATTAGTTTCCTTGAGAACTTGTGAATGACTCATTTGATTGGGTTCAAATAATCATTTCTGATATTTTGATGCATTACTAATGTATGCTACACTCTTTATTGTGATTTTCCTCCCATTAAGGTAGAGGGGGCTGGGCATGCAAGATGCAGGTGATACCTTTCTTGGAAGTACGTCTAGTGTTACTAATAGCGAGTGACGCACACAGGAAGAGGAGGGAGAAAAGGAGAGAATGAGAAGAGCAGCAGCCTAACAAACTGGGTGACATGCATGGGAGGGAGGGGATGAGAGCAGTGGCAGTGTGACGAACAGTGAAGTGACATAGGAAGGGAGGGAGCAGCAGCAGGGTAACAGTGGCACACACGGAGGGAGAGAGAGAACAACAGCAGGGTAACAAGAGTGACACATACAGGGAGAGGGAGAAAATAGTGGCAGCAAGCAGGGAGACAAACAGCCGTGCCCTGACACATCTTACACAACCAATTTGGCGACGCCAGTCCCTGGGTAATTAGCAAGATCCCAGCTTGGTCCTCTGAAGGGATACTGTCGGTGAGAGAGTCGGGGAGGAGGGGTAGAGGAAACGAACGAATGTATGAGGGAGCGAATAAATCAGAGAACCAATAAACGGGAACGAATGATGGAAAATGAACGAACATGAACAAAGGAGGCAGAGATAACGAGAGAACGAACGAACAAGCGCCGATAATAACCTCGGTCCCTCACATTCTTCCGGACGTCCCACACACATGGGTGCTAAGGAAGGGCTGAGTGCTGAGGTAGGGTTGGGTGCTGAGGTAGGGCTGGGTGCTGAGGTAGGGCTGGGTGGAGAGGGAGAAGCATGCAGTATACTTCCTCTACTATATCATCATCCCCTTCCACTACGAGCAAGGTGGGAGGTATATTACTGTTCCACAGTGCCCCATTATAGCAGGCTATGTCCGCCGTATACCACTGAAAAACGAAGGGTCGATCCCCGTTTGAGAGGGAGGGGAGGGAAAGGGGAGGTAGGAAGATGATGGGAGGGAAGGCTAAGAGAAGGAAGGAAAATAGGGTGAGGAGAGACGGAGGTAACTAGATAGGTAGGTAGGGAGGATAAATGAAAGGGCAGAGAATCTCCTACGTTATTTACCTCTCTCACGAACCTCCCTTAAAAATTCATGCACGGACCGAAGCAAATATGTTTTTTTTTAAATACAAGGACAAAAAATGAAGTTTTTCCTGTCCCCTGTTATAAACACAGATTATCTCGCTCCCGTTTAGTCGTGGATGGTGTTTAATCGCGTAAACAAGCGAAAAATGAGCGTATAAAGTGCGTCTGGTAGGGACAAGCTTGCCTGCCCTGCTCTGAGGATGGCCAGGCCATGACCTGCTTGGTTGATGTATGGTTACGTTGGTGCTACCACTGTGTCGTACCTGTGACATGCCTGTGACCGGTTTTATGCCTGCTTCTGCCCTCGCTGTACCCGTGGTGCCCCTACTTTTCACTGAGTTCATTCTGCACTTCCTCTCGTATGTTTAACACCAATAAGTTATGGCAGTGAGCTGGAATCAAACGGTGTAAAATGTCGACAGTATGAAAGACAAATGCAGCATAATGTGACACTTTGTTGACAACTTTTCACCCACACAGTAGGCTTTATCAAGTGAGAGACAGGAACTAGCCCTCACCAACGTATCGTATATAAATTATCAGGTAACATTTCTTCGTTCCAGGCAGTACATTCGAAATGTTTTGAAGCATTTCTTATAGTTTAGATGTTTATTAACTTTGCGGACATAGGGCACAACAGTTAGGGGAAGGAATAATTAAGGTTCGAGAGGAATGATGAGAATGGAAAGTCAGTGACTGGAGGAATGAAAGGAAAAGGATAGTGAAAAGAATAGGAGAGACGAGGTGATGATCGAAGGAATGGAAGAAAGGGCAATTATGGGAAATGTAGGCGAATGGGCAAGAAGCATAATGACAGGGATGGACAGAAGAAAGGGAATAAGAAATGAGAGGGGAAAAAAGGGGGGGGAAGGAGGATTATAAGGAATAAGAATTATTCTCAGTGTGTGGTTATTTTGTTTCCTTAATGTTCACGTGTTGCTTGTTCTGGCGAGTGCGGGAGAATGTCTTGGCTACCTTTCTACTTATCTACTAGTCTTTTCTGCAGTACTTGCTTAACGGTCTTGCCTACCCGTTTCGTCGATTTTGTTTACCTCTCATGTGTACTTGTATTAGCTACGTCAGAGTTTTGTTTATGCCTTTCTGCCTATCCTCTTGTTTGCCTCTCACGTAAATGTCTCGGCCTGTCTACATTGCCTTTGTCTTTGACTATCTTGTATGTTGTAATCATGTCTCCTTTGCTGCGTTAAGCCTTAAAGGACGTGGCGTTCAGTTATGTTAATATGCAAATTGAGTTTCCCAGTGAAACCTTGGGAGCATTGTTGATTTATATGCGAATTAAGCTCTTGAGCAATATAGTTCTATGTAGTGAATATTTATTTTTATAGATGGGAGGAAAGTCTAGCTCTTGGGCCTGCAACAGCCAGGTTGAACAGTTAATCAACAAGGATGCTTGGCCTAAGGCTAGGCTGTTAGTATAGAGAAACCCTCAAAACCGTTCACAGGTATATTATTGGTGTGTATGCTTAATACCTTAATCATGGATCATTGCCTGATTTAGTTCCGTGTCTGGAGACACTGTCTTGTTTCTTGTCAAACAAAACAACAACACCACTCGCGAATTTTCCTCGCGATATTTAAAATTGATTTAATAATTTTGTAATCATCTTGGATGCAAACAAAATAACTAAATTCAGTGTGTTTTAACTGACTGTATTTACTTTGATATGTACAGTAGACCTGTCCTCCTTGGTTTACTGAGGTTAATATCGACAGTCTGTGAGCACAATGATACAGAAAACACCTTTATCAAATCTTAGTTTGATAGGTCTGTTATGCGCCCTAAAGCCTTTCTGTCGGCATTAATCAACAAGATTACAGAGGCACATCCTTGACTGAACAGTTCAAAATTTGAAATCATGATAGTAGCGATGGCTGGAATATCCGTCTCTAAACCCACATGCGTGTGTCTCTTCTTGGCTTACCTTCTGTTCATTACTCAAATGTTTAAAAAAAAATACTCAAGGTCAGGAAGGTAATCAAGCGGAAACGTAAGAAAAAAAGGGGAGGAGGGGCAAGTTTAGAACACAACTCTCATATTTACTGGAAATGTGTGAAATGTTGGTTCTAGGATCTTTGAAGCGACTCTAGTAATTCTGTGGTCAAATCCAGCCACGTTTGAGTCGTCTTTAACAATATTGTTAAATTATTATTAAAACCTTTAATTGTTAATGGAGAGATTGTTAGCCCTCCGTCCCACATGGCTGGTGGACCTCCATCCCACCTGGCTGACCCTCCATCCAACTTGGTTGGTCCTCCACCCCACATGGAGGACCCTCCATCCCACATGGCCGACCCTCCACCCCACATGGCTGACCCTCCATCCAACTTGGCTGGCCGTCCATCCCACCTGGCAGCATCACTGACAACCAAGAGTGATGGAGAGCTCTTGGTCCCTAGCTCCACCCTAATGGGTGCGTAGCGTGTGTCTTCTGTATTTGCTTGCCCCGATATATGAGCGAGCCCTACCCCTTCACCGTAGCCCCATTCATTGCCCTTTCTCCTCTTACCCCCCACCCTTCTTAAGATCCCTTTCTTTCTCTAGATCCCCCCTTTCACTACCATTCAATTACCCCTATTTTCTACTTCCTCTTTCTCCCCACTACCTCTTAGTGCATGTCGTCTTCTCCCTCTCCCTGTTCCCCTCCTACTTGCTATGCCTTCACTGAATTCAGTGTACAGATAAGATAGACAGCTTACTCGAAAATCTTAAAAATCCTACACCAAATATTTTGACAAAATCTCTCATTTGAAGAATGCAATAATACAGCAAAGGTTAGGAAAAGACAGTAGATTACGAGAGCTTCCTAAACAAGAATAATAATGATGTTCTTACGATCTGAGTAATATTGTGCTCATAGTGCCTTTCAAGGCAGGAGAGACAGCAGAGCTGGAAAATGTAATGGTCGTATACTGACAGCATATTCGATAAAACACCTTAAAACTACCGGGGACGCCTCAGAACACTTGGATTGTTCTTTCTGGAATGAAGAAGAAAGAAATACCTGATAATATATACATATGCTTTACTCGGTGGCCTGGTTTGTTACCTACATAGCAAGACTCAACCTACTCTTATAGGATATCAGAAATACTAAGCTGGAAAGCTTTCTTCTAGTATTGCCGAAACACTCGGCTTGTGATGGCTACTATAAACAGCTTGGTTGGCCAGGCGGTCTACAGGAGAACCTGGCCTCGGGTCGAGCAGTGAGGTTACCTGGAGGTTATTCCGGGGATCAACGCCCCCGCGGCCCGGTCCATGACCAGGCCTCCCGATGGATCAGGGCCTGATCAACTAGGCTGTTACTGCTGGCCGCACGCAGTCTGACGTACGAGCCACAGCCCGGCTGATCCGGCACTGACTTCAGGTATCTGTCCAGCTCTCTCTTGAAGGCAGCCAGGGGCTTATTGGCAATTCCCCTAATGCTTGATGGGAGGCTGTTGAACAGTTTTGGGCCCCGGACACTTATGGTGTTTTCTCTTAGTGTACCAATGGCGCCCCTACTTTTTATTGGCGGCATTTTGCATCGCCTGCCCAGTCAAGAGAACCCTTGAAACTGGTCACAATTATTCACTGTCTCACCTTTTTCCTTCTTCCCATTCCCCGTCTACCCTTATTGCCTACCCTTCCCTCTGTCCCTGCTGTGTGTAGATCGCTACATAAAGAGAAGGCACACTTCGACGCACTTTTCTCTCTCGTTGACGTTACTGTCCTGTTCTCGCAGCACAAAGCAGGCGAGACCCGAGATACAAAATATGCAAACATTTACTGCTCGCATAAACTCGTACAAAAAAGGCGAGAGGAGTCTTATATGTTGTATCTAATGATGGTTCTGCAGATGATCGTCCTGCGACCCGGTCTCACTAGATCTCCTCAAATGATAGAGCAACATTACCAAACAAAGAGGTGTTAAGAAACAAACAAAAAGTGAAATTCACTTGTTGTTTATTCCTGACATTCTCTTGTCGTTTATTCCCGTTTCCATGTTACATATTCCGGTCATAATTTTTTTTTTTTTTTTTTTTTGTAAATTTTTTACAGACTTTCTCTTGTCTTTTTTTTCTAGTTATTCCCATGTTATATATTCTAGTCATAAGAATCTCTTGTCGTTTATTCCAGTCATAGCATTCGTTTCTGGTTTGTTACAGGCGTGTGCGAGTTCCCAGCGGAGTGGAGTGGGAAGTGGTTTCGGTCCGGCATGGGACAGGAAGGTCCCATCGTCATCACTAGAAGCAGCATCTCCAAGACCGGAGACTGTGAGGAGAAGGGCAAGTCTAACAGATACCTCGTCAAGGAGGAGTGAGTACCCATAAGAGTAACTATTGGGGATTACCTCTTGTCTTTACTTATACTGGGATTAGCCCTTTGTAGGTCGGGGTTACGTTTTCAGTATTGTTAGCAAGAGAGCAATACTCATGGTGTCTTGTCTTCAGTATTGTATTTACAGCAACAGAGCAATGCTCGTGGTGCCTTGCTCTGTTGCATGTAGTTGTATCTACTCTCTCTATTATAAAATATATATATATATATATATAATATATATATATATATATATATATATATATATATATATATATATATATATATATATATATATATATATATATATATATATATATATATTAATAATATATATATATATATATGTCGTGCCGAATATGTAAAACTGGTCAATTAGCAAGAACTCATTTAAAATTAAGTCCTTTTTAAAATTTTCACTTATACGTTTAAAGATACATTTTTCATTAATGTTAATGTAAAAATTTATAATTTTGCACCAAAAGCAACTTAAAAAACTTACCTAACCTTATTATAACAAGAACAATTTATTTTAGCCTAACCCAACTAAATATATTTTATATTTGTTTACAATAATTTAATACTAAACAAACACAGTGAAGTATATTTTTCTCGTTAGATTCAGAATGATTTTGGTGAAATTATTCCATACACAAATTTGCGCTTGTCCTATATGGCAAGATGAGCGTTGCTATTTAAGCCAAGATCGCAAGTTCTGCCTATTCGGCACGACATATATATATATATATATATATATATATATATATATATATATATATATATATATAGGATGGGGTCCACCTCTGGTGTAAATTGTGGGACCCATAGCCTCGGAGAAGTGGATAAAAAGGCTTCAAGGAAGAATATTTGGATTTCTTCCTGAAGCCATTTGAATATTCCACTTCCCCTACCACCCCATCTTTTAAACTATTTTTTTTTTACCAATAGGAATATTTTATTACATAATATGGTACAGAAGATTTAAGAGATACATTGTTGATATAAAGGTGGCATATACGGTACATGTTGTTACGTGTGTATCACCGATTATAAGGCGAAAATCTCATCCAGCTCCTCAGAGCTGGGGCGTGTGCCCAAAATGCAGCATGCATTACCCCTTTGAACAGCCGCACTGAGCCGCTGGAACAGAAAACTAGCTGCCCTGGGATCCCTAGTTACCCTGATGAGTCTTTTTCCCAGCTCCTTAAGGAAATTAGATGCACTCTTTCCCCATGAGCCAAGGGTCTCTGAGCCTATGGGAGCAAACATATAATGATGGGCAAGTTCTCCATATTTTCTAGACTTTTGGGACTCCCTAAAGCTGGCAGCTGCCCCTCCTTCCTCCCTGGTGTATTGGAGATAGGTATCAGCCAAGGTAGATGCACATGTATAGTCCCACACCACCTGCTTCCCATCTGTCCAGGCTTGAAGGGTGATACCATCTGGACGCTTCTGGCTGCCGTCAGATCTGCATAGTTGCGGTGGCTCCCTTACTGCTGGGCATCCAGCTGTTGTGAGGCTCCTCTTGATAATGTTATTAACCTCCTCATGTCTTGCAATCTTTCCCTCGGATTTACGGCACACAAGACCATGGTACCCGAATCGGTCTGCTGCTTCACTGCCACAAATACACCTGTGTTCGGCGAGAATAGGGGCGGCAAGTCGAAGGGCAACACCGATGCGGATGGTCTGTGGGTCGAGGCGTGTGCCAAGGCTGGAGTTGGGAACAGCCAACAGAAAGTCCCCAGCATGAGGGGCTCTCACTGCCAGCATGTCGTGCCGAATATGTAAAACTGGTCAATTAGCAAGAACTCATTTAAAATTAAGTCCTTTCTAAAATTTTCTCTTATACGTTTAAAGATATATTTTTTTCATTAATGTTAATGTAAAAAAAATTAATATTGCACCAAAAGAATCTTAGAAAACTTACCTAACCTTATTATAACAAGAACAATTTATTTTAGCCTAACCCAACTAAATATATTTTAGATACGTTTACAATAATTTAATACTAAATAAACACAATGAAATATATTTTTTTCGTTATGTTTAGAATAAATTTGACGAAATTATTGCATACACAAATTTTCATTTGTCTTATATGGCAAGATGAGCGTTGCTATTTAAGCCAAGATCGCAAGTTCTGCCTATTCGGCACGACATTATATATATATAATATATATATATATATATATATATATATATAATATATATATATAATATATATTATATATATATATATATATATATATATATATATATATATATATAATATATATATATATATATATATAATAATTAAATTAATAAACAAACACAATGAAATAAATTTTTTCGTTGGGTTCAGATTTTTTTTTTTGCGAAATTATTGCATACACGAATTTTCGCTTCCCTTAATCGACAAGAAGAGCGTTGCTATTTATGCCAAAATTGTAAGTTCTACCTATTGGGCACGACATATATATATATTTCCATCGATAAACCTGATGACGTAGTGTATTAAAAACAACCATACTACGCATGCTCTATCACTGTACATAACGAAATCTTTCTACTTTCAATCACAAAGCTAAATCCATGATGCAGTTTTTTTTCCCCGAATATCGTATGTGGATACTGAAACTAAATGGAACATCTCGTTTATGCGGCTTGTATGGATTATCCAGAACTGGATGACGGAGACGCATGAAACAGCATAACCCATTATTACAAGATTTCGCTTGTCATCTCGTTGCCTCAACTACCTGAAACTATGAGAGGGGCATTCCTTTATGCTAGAGAAGGGCTCTTTATCCAAAGAATTGTTTGCCTCCCTGATGCCTCTTTGTTACTACTGACCCCACATCCCCTGGGCCTCTGACCCCATGACCCCCCTGGCCTGTGACCCCCTGGGTCTTTGACCTGCAGCCTCTGACCTGTGCCATTAGACGATAATCACCTTAGTGTCCCAAACAGCTGAAAGCACTTAGCGCTAATGCTCCTCCATTTTTTGGGTTGTGTTTTACCTCCTGCCCATGTTGTTGTGGGGTCCTTTGTTGGTGCTGCCTGAGGTGTTGGTGGAGGCGGAGAGGGTGTTGGAGTCTACCCACCCCGTCTACTTGTTGAGGCAATAAGTCTCCGGCGCTCGATCTCAAATCAGGTCTCCTGGTTGATGATCAGGTCAGTCAGGATGTTGCTGCTCCCACCACGGAGCCAGACTTAGGTACCACAGCTCGTCTGATTAGGGAAAGTTGGCAAAAAACTGTTACGTCCGCTCTCCCCATTAAAATTGTTGTTCTGTTGGCGATTACCCTTGTGTTGAAATTTCTTGGAACTTGCCATTAAATATATGAACCTTCTACTAAGTAGATTACGAATAAATAGTTTACAAAACCGAAAAGTTGATAAACGAGACACTTTGCTACATTTGGGTATCTTTATTCTGGAAACGTTTCTCCACGCAGTGGTCTTTTTCAGTCCAGTGGAGAAGAAGAATAAGAGGAAGACTTTGAAGTAGTCAGTCCTTCAGCCTTGAGACGATGTGTTAGTGTGTTAATTAGTACCTCTTTCTCGCAGTTCTGCGAGGACGAGGTACTAATTACCTCTCCTACTATCTTCCGTTTATATCCCTGTATTCTATTGGTAAAGCACTGGTTGACAAAACGTCTACAAAACAGATACCCAGATGTTGCATATGTGTAAATCATGATACTTGCTGAGATTGTGACAAGTTTTTCGGAGGTGTATGTTCTAGGGACCTGAACACGAGTGTCAGCGAACATATCAGTTCCCACCAGAGATGACACCAACAACGCCTGTACTGCTCACTTAACACAGAGAACCATAATATGAACTTCCCCAGCACTAAACTAGTTATCAAGGAAAAAGACAGACAGAACCGACTTTGCTTAGAATCTCCTCGGGTTGCAACTACTAACAATACACAGAAAACAGGTTCACTCCTAATTTCTGAAGCGGTAACCAGACTCATTCTTACCAGATATGACATTGTTGTTACGTAAGACTATACGGAGAAGTACTGAAGTCGGGCTGCTTTCAACCTGAAGTTTCCACTTCGCTGAGGAACATCACTGCAGGTACCACCACTCGCCCATCTCTACACCTGTTTACCCGTTTCTGGACGAATTGGTAAAGGTTCTGGTGGACGACACATCTCAGTGTCACACAACCCATAATGTGTTATTAACAATGAAGGGCGTCCTCTGGTTGTCACTCGTGCTACGAGTACTTCCTAGTATCGTCTGTTAGGGATGATATAGAGCTATTTTTTTTTTGTGTGTGTATGTCAAATGCGAGACTGGAAAAGAGAACTGGATCGAGTAGATTAACTTTTCCCGCTGATGCGACTAGTCTTCAGAGCACCCAGTATCCATCTTGGGGACGGTACTACAGGAACATATGGATGTACAAAAGGCCTGTAAACGAGGTCCCAAAATGGGTTAACACGAATACATCTGGATGTAGATTTACAACTTGTATTTATAAGCAAATTTAGAATATTAGCAAGAAAAAAAATTCTGGTATCTCATTTTCATTGTAGAAAATGTTGGGTAAAAGGACACATGTGTAACTAATATGACATTTTATTGTGGCAATGTTTCGCTCTCCAGGAGCGTTGTCAAGCCAGTAGTCTAACGTTCTTATATACTTCTGTTCCAGGCAGGATACTAAGACCAAACGAGGCATCATTATTGGATTTTTCCTAAGAACTTGCCGAATTTGCAGCCAAGAGTTTCTTGACAAAGAACGTGCATGCATACAACAAACCTTCATGAGCCAAGCTACAATTTCCTCCTTTTTTTTTTAATCAAAGACTGCAAAGAAAAAGCACTTCAAAACATCAATTCCCCACATACACTTCAAAGTTTGAATTCTTCCCAACAGCAGGTTTCTTGGAACGTCTCTCAAATACTTGCACAAGCCAACACTACCAGCACATCCATCAAAGAAATGACCAGGACTAAAGAAGAAAATCTTAAACCAGTCATTGCAAGTGTTTA